CTCTCTCTCTCTCTCTCTCTCTCTCTCTCTCTCTCTCTCTCTCTCTCTCTGTACACAAATGTTTGAACATTTATAAAAAAAAAAGTTTACAAAAAACTAACATTACACTTATGCTTTTCCATAAGACAGGGAACAAGTGAAGGATGTCTATTCTCAGCACTCTTTCAAGGATAGCCAAAAACTGGATAATACCCAGATGTACTTCCCTAGCAAATGGTTAAATAAACCATGGTAAACACATATCATGGAATGTACTGAGCCACAGAAAGGAACTATTGACATACACAGCAACCTGGATGAGTTCTGTTATGTGAAAAGAGTCAGTCCCAAAGATTATATACTATGTGATTCCATCTACATAACATTCTTCTTTTTTTTTTTTTTTTGCTTTTATAAAACCACTTAATCAAAGTATGATGGATACACAACAAAACTGTACATTTTTAATTTATATAGCTTGATACATTTGGAAATAAGCATACATCTGTAAACCATCACCACATCTATGCAACACACCTCCAAATGTTTCCTCCTCTCTTCTTTATTTATCATTATTATTTGTGACAAGAATACACTTTTTTCCCCTTAAGAACATTCTTGGAAAGACAAAAGTATAGAAATGGAGAACTGATTAGTGGCAGACACAGGCTAAGGAGAGAGTGGGAATGGGAAGGAAGTGGGTATAGTCATAAAAACAGAAAAACACGAGGGATTTTTTAGTGACAGAAATGTTCTGTATCTTGATCATATTAGTGTCTATGTTCTGTTGTCATAATGTACAACAGTTTTGCAAACTGTTACCATCTTGGGGGAAGCTGTAAAAAGGATACATGGGATTTCTCTGTATTATTTTCTTAAAATTGCACCTCGATCCACAATTATAGAAACATAAGAGCTTTGATACAAACAAAAATAAACACACACACACACAAGCGTTTTGTTGCTTGAACTCCTACCAAATAGGATTGACTATCATCTATCTTGAAAGACTTAATCATATTCCTCTTTTTTTTTAAGTAAAAAGATAAGATGACCAGGGGAGCTCACCAAGTTTCTTCATAACATTATGACCACAGAATGATATGCTGGGAAATATAGTAAGTATGTAACTATTTTTAAGAGAATAGAAGACTGGTTAAATTGTATAGCTGGTGATGTGGCTCAGTGGTAGACCACTTTCCTAATATGCTCAAAGCCATGAGTTCAATGCCCATGATGAAAAAAAGGAAAAAGGAAAAAAAAGGGGGGGGGGCTTAAGTTTAATCATAAAGGCAACAGAAGTGAATTTCTAATTATTAGATAAATTAAATTATATCTGTTTTCATAGTATATTTCAAAAATACAGCTTAATTTTGAAATTTTTTATAAATATATTATATATCAAGACTTACTTGCTCTTCTCTATCTTAATTCTTTTAACATTCAACTTCCAGATAACAAAAGCTTTATTCATTCTGAAAAGAAAAACACTTTTTAAATTCTATATTCACAAATCATATATTTACATAGAATAAACATAGTAAAAACTAAGTAATTTTAGCAAATTCCCTACATGTTTCATTCATTCTGAGCGACCTGAAGTAAATACTAAACCATTTTAAGTTTTCTCCCAAACTATCAACAGAATATAAAGTAAAAGGTAAATGTAAGTTAAAGTCATTAAAATTCTCATAAATGCAGAATTCACTTATCTGTAACATCCAAATAAAAATTTAAAACTATAACAATATATTCCTTCCCATTACACATTAATTGGCTTACTATTTTGAAAAGCAACTCTAACATCAAGAGGAGTTGAAATTCAATTTTCAGTGCTAATTAAATTATAATGATTTAAAAAAATAAGTAAAATGTTAAGATAATGTATGTCATTCTGATATTATTTAAGTTATGAAAAATCATATATATATAATTTTTAAACACTCAAAAACTGTATGAGAAAGAACTGAAAAGTTTACCTCATGATTATTCATCATGCATAATTGTCATACATCAAAAGACATAGATTCTCCAAATCTCCTTCAATTTACCATTTTCTGCATCAGTAGGATTATTCTGTGCTAAATTGCATAATCCCTCCCTTAGCAGTCTTTGCATTTTGAAGAAAACAACCACTCTTAAGTAAGCACTGAAATGTGATTACTTGTTTTCCTGTGTAGCTGGTAAGGGCTAGTGAGGACAGAAAAATAGCAGGGAGGGGGTGTCCAAACAAAACAGTCAATCTTAGTGATGATACTGGCTGAGTTTAAATCAAAAGAGACTGAAAGAGGTCTGAATCCATCCAAGCAGTTCAAAGAGAGTCCTATGAGATGCCCTTCAAAGAGAAACACCTGAGACCCTGAAAATCAGAAATGCCTCAAACAAATCTCGTGACTTGACCATATATATAGGCATTCTAATGACCTCCTATTTTACTTTGATCCAGATCTGCAGAGCTGTGGTACAATCAAGACTCTTGAAGATTCCTGAAAACTCAGGGAACCCATTGGCAGTGTCCCGAGTGTCTGCACCAGGCCATACAAACTAATCCACCAGGAAGTTTAACAGGTTAAAAAGGCTCATGCTGATGCTCTAGTCAACCCCCTGCTCTGTCCATAGCATCACCAGCTAAAATTGTTAACACTTCATATTTAGCTTATTATTCTACTTGAAATGTTTTTTTTTAATATTTATTTTTTAGTTATAGGTGGACACAATATTCTTTATTTTATTTTTATGTGGTGCTGAGGATTGGACACAGTGCCTCATACATGGTAGAAGAAAGCTCTACCTCTGAGCCACAATTCCAGCCTGAAATGTTATTTTTACAATACAGTAATTTAATAACTTCACAAAATATACTAAAAATAAAATTTAAAAATCAAATTTATTGACAAAAATTTAATTTCTATTTTTCTTAAAATGAATAAAGAAAATGGAGCTGGGTATATAGCTCAATGGAGAACATGAGTCACACGATCACAAAATAAGAGAGAGAAAGATATTGAGAGAGAAGAAGCAAGAAAAAAATGACAGTGTACTTACTGATGACAAATGTCATAAAAACAAAACAAAACAAAACAAAACTCTTGTCCCAGTTCTGACTGGGTTTCAAAAGTTTAATACATGAAAATTGATTAAAGCAGAATGGACCTTGAGTATTTATATAAGGCAAAGATGATAGTGGAAAGCCCAACACTGAAAGAGTTTAAAATAAATAAATATAAAAAATAGTACTCTGAGCTAGGTGTGGTGGCACACACCTGTAATCGTAGCAGCTCAGGGAGGCTAAGGCAGGAGGATCACAAGTTCAAAGCCAGCCTCAGCAAAAGCAAGGTGTTAAGCAACTCAGTAAGACCCTGTCTCTAAATAAAATTCAAAATAGGGCTAGGGATATGGCTTAGTGGTCAAATGCCCCTGAGTTCAATCCAGGGTTCTCCTCACCCCCCCAAAAAGAAAGAAAGAAATAGTACTCTGGATAATATTTTAACTGATAATCCAGAATCAAAACCTATCTAGCCTTACAACTAACACCTAAATTCTAGGGATGCATTTATCACATATCCTAGACAGGAAATTTCTCAGAACCGTTCCTCAATCACCTTCACTGAATGTGACCCAGAAATTAACAGAACCAGCTTCATTTCCTACCAATCTCTTCAATGCTCCTGTCACGCAATTCCTATTATTAAATAAAAACTATTGAACTTGGTCTATCCTCTGGCTGGAACTATCTTCTCTCAATGTCCCACATGGCCATCTCCTTTTATCACTTAGGTCTCTGCTTAAATACTGCATCTCTTAGCATCCTATCTAAACATGTATTTTATTCTGTTTTATTATCTTTCTGGTCCTTATCATTATCTGAAATTACTTTATTTATTTAGTTACTTATTATTCATCTCCCTCCATTGAAATCTAAGTTCTATAGAAACAGACACTTTGTATATTTTTTCATGGTTCTATTGCCTGTCCTCATAAGAGTGAAACAGGATAGGTACATGACAAATTTTGTTCAATAAATAACTTCTCTGCCACAAAATTCCATATACTTCTCTTACTGTTAGTTATTAAAGTTATTTAATCTATTTATTATGTTAAATATAATAATTTAAAGTATTTTTTTAAATCTCAGGTTGGGGCTCTAGCTCAATAGTGAAACACTTGCCTAGCATGTGTGAGGCCCCAGCACCATGCAAATGTGTGTGGGGGGAGGGAGTGTGGGTGTTATTTAGTTTCTCTTCCTAGTCCCCAGCAAATTTCAGCACACCACAAGAAAAGGTAGACATTTGAGAAGGAAAAAGAAAATTATAAAACTAGGTACTGTGCAAACACTGAAAGAACAACAGTCTGGGTTACTTTGTGAGGAAAGAGAGTCTTAGGAATCCTGTTGTGTGATACAATGTAAAGTACCTTAGACAAATCTTTCAAAGATGAACTTGAATCAACAAGTTGCCCCCAGCTTCTTCATCCTTGTTTTATTTTTAAAAAATTTTTAGTTCTTTCATAACATTTCATCTCTAACATTTTACATTTTTACAGATTTGTTTATTATCTCTTACCTACTACAATTAAGGTTCTTTGAGAGCTAGACAATTGTTTGGTTTGTTTGACAGAGTAACCACAGCATCGAGAATAACACCTGATTTTTAGCAGATGTTTAATTAATGAATGAATAAATGCATGAAAAAAGGCAAAGTGAGGTCAATACAGTCTATTTAAGTATGTTTGATTATTAAATATCTTTTTTGGGGCAATGTTAATCCAAAAAGACAAAAATTAAGGGTTTAATACTTAAATCAGTAAGTTTCCTTTATCTAAAATACTATAATTCCCCATAAACATGGCATTACTATAATAGAAATTAAGTATCATCCAGGCCATTTTCTTAAAACAGGATCAAAGTATAAAAAATAAAAAAGGTTCATTTTTATTAATCTCACCGAAATTTGGAAAATATCTTAAATTGCTGTAATAAATAGTAAAAATGTCTTTCTGATAGCCATTCCAAAACAGGTGTGAGCTCCACGTCTTCTGTATTGTCACTTATTTTAATAACCTACAAGTATAAAAAGCACAAGAGTAGGATTTTCTTTTAAAAATAGCTGCTATTTTCAAGAAATTAAGAAAGGCTATGTTTAGGGCTCATAACTACTTGCCTTTAAATTTAAGCCTTTTCTGTGCCTGAACCCTCATTAACCTCAACTGCTTTGCTTTCCCTTCACACATTGATTCTACACTTGCCTTTCTCCTGCTACTTTTTGTGCTCCAATGGAGAAAAGATAGGAGAGATTTCCTCCATACTCAGAGATACTTCTCACAAATGATTATACAAATTTGAGTCCTGCAATTTTTATGCTTTCTTTAGTATTTATAAACACAATTTATTTTTTTAAATTTTTTTAGTTGTAGATGAACACAATATCTTTATTTTTTATTTATTTATGTGGTGCTAAGGATTGAACCCAGGACCTCAAGCATGCAAGGCAAGTGCTCTACCACTGAGCTACAACCCCAGCCTTATAAACTCAATTTAAACTACATGGAGTGGTTCAATTTATAACCCCACTTCTCAGATACCCTATTTTTATATCAAAAAACTAATATTCACCAAGGAATTTTGTCTTCCCAAGAGTTGTCTGCCCAATGGAATGTTAAAATATTCATATATTTCTTCTAGAAATAAAAGTATGCCTTTATCAGCATATATGTATCTATGTATGTTTTTATTTATATAAAAATTGTTCTTTCCATCTTCACTCCATATTACTTCCATATATGTACATCTAGCTCTATTTTATGCAGATGTGGTTCTGCAAAGTGTACTTAGAATTTACTTTAGTTGGGAGGCTGGGAGAACAGAGGCAGACAGACAGATATTAAACAAATGATCAAAACAAGTATTTGTATAATTGTAACTTGTGGTAAGTATCAAAGTGCTATGTAAGAGTATAGTAGGGGATTTCTGTATCTGGAAATAAAGTTTATAACAAATGTGCCAATAAAGAGCATTCTTATCTTTATAATTATCATTCCTGTTATACTAGCAAATGCCTGTTTTTTAATTCTTACTTTAAAAATTACACAAAATATTAATAAAGCATTTGAGACCTCAAAATTTTCTTAAAATTGAATCCTCAAGCCTATATTTATATAAAGAAGAAAAAAATGTACTATCAAATAACTTTCCCAAGGAAATTATTAAATATAGACTGCTTCTCAAATGACCACACTTCTCTCAAGCACAAAGATAAATTCATGCGATAAAATTCTAAATTGGATAATATTTTTCTATTTTAAATCTGAAAGCTGAAGACACCCATTATATATTACCTTTGAGACAAATGAAGCAGTAATAATCCAAAATTCTTTGCATTTTTTAGCTCTATGGGTAGAGACTACTTGAGGATCATATGGATTGGAAAGGCCGTTAGGATTATACCGAGGAATGCAATATACAAATTCCCCATCATCTTTTAAAGGCTCCTGAGGTTAAAAAAATATAATTAATTTGACTAAATTAACTAATAAAATGGTTGAAATGAAAAAATTTTTAAAATATTTATTTATTTATGAAATGAAATGAAACAATTTTAATATAAGGATTAAAAATATGACTGGGCTGGGGATGTTAGCTTAATGGTAGAGTGCTTACCTAGCATACATGAGACCTTAGGTTTGATCCCCAGCACAGGTAAAAAAAAAAAATAATAATAATAATAATAGAAATAGAAATGTCATTGAGGAAAACCAAAATCAAATTGTGTCTAATCAAAGTTCAATAAGATTAATCTTATGAAAGATTTAATATATTTAATTTCCATTCTTAAACACAATGTGGTGATAAAACATTCAAAAATGTATCCATCTGCTTACTAATGCATTTAATGTATGTTTACTAACCCAAAGAACTTGATGACATACCTTTTATATATGCCATCTTCCAATAAATTTATTTGCCAACACAAGAAAACTTGAGGCATATTAGATATATCATTTATTTTGATGATGGTGGGTAATAATTGTAGCAAATATTTGTTAAGAAATATTTCATAAGTAAGTGTTCCACATATATTATCTAAACCATAAAAGTTTAATATCTTAACTTTAATCAAAATTAAAGGGATATTAAGGGTCAATACTTTTTATCTTGTTAAGAAGATGCAGAAATTAATAATTTGATAAACTGGGTAATGTGAAAAATATCACCGATATAAGAAGTGGCAAAGTAGAAATTTAAATCCAAGTCTGACTCTAAACTCATGTTCAAAGTTTCTGCAAAAATATAATGCCTCTCCCTCATTTAATTGGTATTTCTGAGGAACTGGCTGTTCTATATTAAGAAAAATTTAAGTGTAAATTTTAAAGCTACCTTCTTTTAGCTTTCAAACTTTTACTGATGAAATCAATTCTAAAATTATAAGAAAGTTGAATTAGTCTTCTCTGGGCAGTTAAATTTGATTATAAGAAAAAAACGATTTAGTATTCAATGATGCCCTCAGAAGCTACTGAATTAAATAACTAAATAGTTCCCAATTACTTCAGCTTTAAATTTTGGATCCAGTTTTACAATTATTTTTAAAATTTTTTCTTCCTTGAAAAGTCTTTGTTTCTTCTCAATTGTGTTAGCTATTTACTATTATTTGTCCACTTAAAGCATTTTTGTTCTAAATTATATTTCAAACTGTGATGTTATTAGAAACTCAGTATAGGTACAATTATATTAAATGGATCATATATTTAATTAAAATTCAATTATTGAAGCATAAAAATGTTACAATTAAATTATTCTTTTTTACTGAAAACAAGTGTTTTTTTTTTTTCATATTCTCAATTCTTTTTTTACACACAACTGAAACATATCTTACTTAAGAGTCCAAAGAACTCATGTACAGCTGTGGTTTTGTGTTGTTTTTATTAAAAAAATAAAGTATGTCCACAATCTTCCTGGCACTATGGCACATTCTTTATTTGATTTAATATTCACAATGTTCTAGGGTAAGTTCTATTATCACCATTTTAAGATCAAAGAATTCACCAAGATAACCTGGTGAATTACTGAGATTCAAAACTACACGAATTTGATTCCATTGTGCATATTCTTTCCTTTACATTATGATGTCTCTAAACAGTGTCCAAATGATCACTTAACCTTATGGTAACAGTCTAGAGCTGAGATCAGCAAACCATAACATGGGCCACATGTATTTTATTGTAAATAAAGTTTTATTGGACCATACACCCATTTATTTACATATTGCTTTGCACTGTTAAGTTGAGTAGTTACAACAGAGATCTCAAGACCTGCAAAGTCTGAAATATATATTACCTGGCCCTTTTTAGGAAAAGTTTGCTGACCCCTGGTTTAGAGCAGTGTTTTTAATTGTGCGTTAGATTCACCTGAGAGCTTAATACAGATTGCAAGGCCCCATCTCCAGAGTTTCTGATTCACTGGATCTAGGATTGTGAATGACAATATGTATTTCTAATAAGCTTCTTCAATAAATTTCTTTTATTTCTTTTTAAATCACACACCAAAACAACAACAAAAAACTGACATATCAGAATAAAAGAGGAGATTCTAATTTCAGGCAGATGGTATAATTTCCTGGGGACCAAATCAGTTAGAGGAAGGAATAAAAGAGGATAGACACAAATATTTTGATGCATCATAGACTTAAAAATTTATAGGCCTTTTAAATTTTCTGTTCCTTAAATAAGTGAAACAAAATAATGTCAATATTTTTTATAAGCTTTTACCATGAAACATTTATTGCAATTTGATATTAACATATCTGATTTTGATGTAATATTTTAAATGTATTAAATAGAAATTAAAATAGTTTAAAATATTGATTTTTATAGTCCAAAATTAAATAAAGTGCAATAGTACCTTTAGGATAATCTTCTGAACTGCAATTTTGGGATTATCATATTTGAAGTCTTTTGGTGATAAGGCAGTTTGCCAACCAAGCTTTTCTCTTAGCCTAGTAATATGTCTTATGACATCATCATCTTCTGGTTCTGGTGCAGAATATTTAAAAAAAAGTTCAATAGAAGTGCAAATATGGATACCACTTAAGTATAATGTATAATATTTCAAAAATTTCTACACAGAGAAATTATAACAAAGTCAATGTAAAACTATATAATGAAAAGAGGAGGTATAGCTTAAAATTCAGTCTTAAGAAGAATTTTAAAAGAGGAACAATATTTATCTACTTAAAGATATCACAAAAGACTTAATTCCAAGTTATAGATAATAAGAAAAAAGATTAGAACTGGAGCCAATTGTAAGGCTTTTGTTTTTTAGTTTTGGGGATGGAATGCAGGGCCTTGTACATCCTAGGCAAGCATTCCATCGTCAGTTTTACTCCCAGCTCCAAGGCTTATAAAAGGCCTGAGCTAGAGGTAGAATCTTTGTAGGATCCAAAAGGAAGGGATGACAATACAGGATGGAGGTATTCTTCCTAAAGATACTCATTCAACAGACACTGTGCAGACCATATCTTCTTGATCTCTTAGTTGGCAGCTAAGAATTTTCTCTATTTTGAAATAGTCTTTTTTAAATTCTGGCTTTTATTCATCATGCTGTACAACACTTGTTCTTTAAATTCTCTTAAAAAAATAACAAATTAAAATTTAAATTGTGTATACTTATGGGAGTACAGTGTGAAAATCCAAAACAAACATGTAATATGTGATGATAAAATCAGGGTCAAGAGCATTTACATCCCTTTAAATATTCATCATTTGTGTTGGGAAGTTTCAAAGTCCTGTGTTTTGATTCTTTTTAAAATTTTCAATAAATTGTTGTAACGTCAGTCAACCTACTATGCTATAGAATATTAGAACTTATGCTTACAAGTTTAATTTTTTGATAAACATCTTAATTTGATGCTCTTTGACCACTTCTCTGAATTTTTCTTTTCTTTTTTTAAAAATATTTATTTTTTAGTTGTAGTTGGACACAATACCTTTATTTAATTTATTTATTTTTATGTGGTCTGAGGATCAAACCTAGGGCCTCACACGAGCAAGGTGAGTGCTCTACCACTGAGCCACAAATCCAGCCCCTGAATTTTCCTTATGATGGAACTCTAAAAGTGAGATTATTGGTCAAAGGCTATGAAAAAAATATGAGAGTTCTACACACTCCTTTAGAGACTTACTAAGGACTCTGTTCATTTTGAGTCAAGTAAGCTGTCTAGATTCTACCAGACAGGGGCAATAATTGAGAAAGAAATTTCTTTTTTTTTTCTAATTAAAGATTAGGTGATGTTATTGCTGTTAATCATTCAGTTATGTATTAAACAGAGTCATTGTTAAATACACAAAAAGAATCATAAGAAGAAATTTGCCTCTTCTCTAAATGTATTCATTATTTGGCCTTCTTCTATTCTCCTTACTAGCCTTCCTAGCCTCTAATGACAACTATTCTACTTTCTGTATCTATGAAATCAACTTTTTTAGCTTCCACATTAGAATGATAATGTGATTTTGATCTGCAATTCCTTGATGATTAGTAATTTTTAAAAATTTACTTATTTATCCTAATTAAGTATATAGACAGCAGAATGCATTTTGATTCATTGTACATAAATGCAGCACAACTTTTCATTTCTCTGGTTGTACACGATGTAGCCTCACGTCATGTGTGCAGTCATACATTTACCTAGGGTAATGATGTCCATCTCATTCCACCATCTTGCCTGCCCCCATGCACTCTCCCCACCTCTCCCTTCCCTTTGCTCAATAAAAGTTCCTCCATCCCCCTAATAATGGTTCAGCATCCACTTATCAGAGAGAACATTTGGCCTTTGGTTTATTGGGATTGGCTTACTTTGCTTAGCATGATATTCTCCAACTCTACCCATTTACCTGCAAAGGTTTGGGCCTACTTTTTCCTCTATCAGGCAAAGGGTCTCTGGACTAATTCCTAGGTCCTTGATCCACTTTTGAGTTTTGTGCATGGTGAGATAGGAGTTTATTTTCATTTTTCTGCATATCGATTTCCAGTTCTCCCAGCACCATTTGTTGAAGTGGCTATTTGTTCTCCAGTGTATGTTTTTGATGCCTTTGTCTAATATAAGATAATTGTATTTATATAGGTTTGTCTTTGTGTCTTCTATTCTGTACCATTGATCTACATGCCTGTTTTGGTGCCAATATCATGCCATTTTTGTTCCTATAGCTTAGTGGTGTAGTTTAAGGTCTGGTATTGTGATACGTACTGCTTTACTCTTCTTTCTAAGGATTGCTTTGGTTATTCTGGGTTTTTTACTTTTCCAGGTGAATTTCATGATTGCCTTTTCTGTTTCTGTAAAGAATGATGTTGGGATTTTAATTGGAATTGCACTGAATCTGTATAGTGCTTTGGGTAGTATGGCTATTTTGACAATATTAATTTTGCCTATCCAAGAGCATGAAAGATGTTTCCATCTTTTGAGGTTTTCTTCAATTTCTTTCTTTAATGTTATGTAGTTTTCACCTCTTTTGTTAAGTCAATTCCCAAATACTATATTTCCTTGAAGCTATTGTGAATGGGGTAGTTTTCTTAATTCCTCTTTCAGAGGATTCATCACTGATGTATAGAAATGCATTTGATTTATGGGTATTAATTTTATATCCTGCTACTTTGCTGAATTCATTAATTGACTCTAGAAGTTTTCTAGTGGAGTTGTTTGGATCCTCTAGGTATAAAATCATGTCATCACCAAATGATAGATTGAGTTCTTTTTTTCCTATTCATATCCCTTTAATTTCTTTCATCCATCTACTTGCTCTGGCTAGAGTTACAGGACAATATTGCATAGAAGTGGAGAAAGAGGGCATTCCTATCTTGTTCCAGTTTTTAGAGGGAATGCTTCCAATTTTTCTCCATCTAGAATGATGTTGGCATTGGGTTTGGGATAGACAGCTTTTACAATTATGTTCCTACTATTCTAGTTTTTCTGGTGTTTTGAACATGAAAGAATACTGTATTTTCTCAAAAGCTTTCTCTGCATCAATTGAGATGATCATATGATTCTTATCTTTAAGTATTGATGGGATGAATTATTTATTGATTTCTGTATGTTGAACCAGCCTTGCATCTCTGGAACAAACCCAGCTTGATCATGGTGCACTATTTTTTTGATATGATTTGCTAGAATTTTATTGAGAATTTTTGCATCAATGTTCATCAAGGATATTGGTCTGAAATTTTCTTTCCTTGATGTGTCTCTGCCCAGTTTTGGTATCAGGGTGATACCAACTTCCCTAGAATGAGTTTGGAAGTGTTCCCTCTTTTTCTATTTCATGGAATAATTTGAGGAGTATTGTTATTAATTCTTCTTTGTAGGTCTTGTAGAACTCAGCTGTGAATCTGTCTGGTCCAGAGTTTTTCTTGGTTGTTAGGCTTTGATGGCACCTTCTATTTCCTTGCTTGAAATTAATTTGTTTAAATTGTGTATGTCTTCTTGATTCAGTTTGGGTTGATCATATGCCTCTAGAAATTTGTTGGTGTCTCCGAGGTTTTCTATTTTCCTGGAGTATAAATTTTCAAAATAGTTTCTAATTGTCTTCTGTATTTCAATAGTGTCAGTCATGATATTTCCTTTTTCACCAGGAATTTTAGTAATTTCAGTTTTCTCTCTCCTTTCCATTAGGGTGGCTAAGGGTTTGTGAATTTTATTGAGATATTTAAAGAACCAGCTTTTTTGTCAATTTATTTTTTCCATTCATTCTAATTTATTATACACAACAGCAGAATGCATTAAAATTCATATTACACATATTGAGCACAATTTTTAATATCTCTGGTTGTACACAAAGTAGAGTTACACTATTTGTGTCTTCATACGTGTACTTAGAGTAATTATGTCCATCACATTCTACCATCTTTCTGATGGTGCACTGTTTGGGGCATATATATTTATAATTGTTATGTCTTCTTGATGTATGGTTCCATTGAGCAGTATAAAATGTGCTTCTTTGTCACTTTTGATTAACTTTGGCTTTAAGTCTACTTTTTTTGATATGAGAATGGAAAACTCCTGCTTGTTTCTGCAGTCCATGTGAGTTTCTTCCCAACCTTTCACCTTCAGTCTATGGATATCTTTTCCCATGAGATGAGTCTCTTGGAGGCAGCATATTGTTGGGTCTTTTTTTTTTTTTTCAATCCAATCTGACAGTCTAAGTCTTTTGATTGGTGAGTTTAGGCTATTAACATTCACAGTTATTATTGAGACATGATTTGTATTCCCAGCCATTTTTGGTTTTGGTATTTAACTTGACTTGGTTTCTCCTTGGATTAGTTTTTCCTTTAGCGTAATACCTCTCTCTGTTTATTTTCATTGTTTTTCAATTCCTCTTCAAGGAATACTTTGCTGAAGATGTTCTGCAGTACAGGCTTTCGAGTTGTAAATTCTTTTAACTTTTGTTTATCATGAAAGGTTTTTATTTCATCATCAAATCTAAAGCTTAATTTTGCTGGCTATAAGATTCTTGGTTGTCATCCATTTTCTTTCAGAGCTTGATATATGTTGTTCTGGGTTGAAAAATCTTCACAGAATCTAATTGGTTTCCCCCTATATATAACCTGATTCCTTTCTCTCGTGGGTTTTAATATTCTTTTCTTATTCTGTATGTTAGGCATTTTCATTATAATGTGCCTTGGTGTGGATCTGTTGTGATTTTGTACATTTGGCATCCTTATATAAGCCTCTTGAATTTGGTTTTCCAATTCATTCTTCATGTTGGGAAAATTTTCTGATATTATCTCATTGAATAGATAGCTCATTCCTTTGATTTGGAACTCTATTCCTTCCTCTGTCCCAAGAACTCTTGAATTTGGTCTTTTTACACTATCCCATATTTTTTGAATGTTCTGCTCATGGTTTCTTACCATTTTCACTCTGTGGTCTACATTCTTTTAAAGATTATATATTTTGTCTTCATTGTCTGAGGTCCTGTCTTCCAAGTGGTCTAATCTGTTGGTGATACTTTATTTATTTATTTAACTGATTTTATATTTTTAAACA